CCTCCCTGCCCTTGAGTAGCTTACATTCATTTGGGAGAGATGACCTGTACATATGTAAGTATGCACATAATGATTATGAGTGGTTGGGGGAAGAATATTAGCAGCTGGGTGTGGGCATCAAGAAAGGAGGTAGCATTTGAGCTGAGATTTGAAGGGAAATGGGGATTCAAAGAGACAAGGTGTTGTGGAGGACATGCCTTTCAGGTATGAGGCCCCACCTGTGCCAAAGCACCAACGTATGGGATATGGGATGTCACGTATGGTGAACAGAAAGATGGCCAGTTTGCCTGGACTGGAGAAAGCATGAAGGGGGCACAATTTATAAGACTGGGAATGTAGATTGAAAGCAGGGTATAAAGAGTTATAAACATCAAATAGAGGAATTTTGTATTTGATCCTAGAGGTAACAGAGAACTATTGATGGAGTTTGAGTAGGGGAATGACATGGTCAGAACTGTGTTTTAGGAAAGTCACTTTGGCATTGGTGTGGAGGATGGTTTGGAAAGGGGAGGGACTAGAGGCAAGGAGACCAATTAGGAAGCTGTTGCAGTAGTCTAGGTGAGAAGTGATGAGGGTTCTAGGAGTGCAGACATGGTATGTGGGTGAGGAGAAGTGAGGCGTTATGGATGCAGACCCCTGCGTTGTGAACTTGGAAGAATGGTAGGGCTCTCAAAAGAGAGCATGGTGTTAGCATTTGGACAGGCAGAAAAATGAAAGTAAAAGGTATTCCAGGTAGGGGAAACAACATGAGAAAAAGCTTAGAATTGTGAATATCCTTATTCCCACCAAGGTACCACCATCCTCCTGATTACTCAGCTTCGTGTTCCCAAGACAGGACATTTGACCTGTTGGAATAAACAAGCAGGGCAGGAAGTTGTAATAAGCAGTGGAAGAAAAGATTGGATAGATGGAGATAAAGATAGAATATGAGGCCATCAGAAGTCCGGCAGAAGTATACGTGATAGGTAGCATAGCGCCATAGAGATATGTTAAGACTTTAGTATGTAGGTCAATGGATTGATCAAACACTTTGCCTCACTTTGTCCCTTCTATATATAGAATGGGAGATGGTAAAACTTACTTAAGTATCCGATGAAAGCTAAAGGCTTCCTTATACATAGCCATTAGCTTTGTTAGGGATAAATAAAATCAGAGGTGCCATCACTTTAAACCATGAAAACATTCTGAATCATCAGCTGTTGTCATGGTGGCATCATCCCATTGCCTACTAGTCAGCTGTCAACTCCTCCTTTGCTCTGTAATGATGAAGACATTCTCCCATTACAAACAGGAAAATGACCAAGAACTAGTCCAGATACCACAGGCATGTTTGGTATCTATAATGTACTTCATGAAGCTTTTGGGAAAGTCAACTACTTTTAGTAATGATCATAGCTGGCATTTCTTTTTTTTTTAGACCTTTAAGATTTATGAAGTACTTTGTATCTAGTATGTGATTTGATCCTCACACTAACCCGGTGAGGTTGGTGGTGCAAGTGTTCTCCCCATTTTACGGGGAAACTAAGGTTCAGGATAAGTGGCTTATCCAAATTCACATGGCTAACAAGTAGCCAAATCTGAACTCTCAACCCAGATGTTCTGACTTCAAATGCTTGACTCTCTTCTCTATTCCATGTTATCTCTCAATTCTGCCTTGTCCGTGCTGTTAAGTAAGCTGATGTGAGGCAATGAAAAAGACACTGAAGTTATATCACAGTGGGCAAGTGATATCATGGATTGATAAGCTGTCCCTTTTGGTCCACAAGAGGCTATGAAACAAAGCTTTTCTTTGAGAATCAGAACAATAGACCAATGACAGCCAGGGAAGACAGCTGATGACTTGCCCCAAGTCTCATGGCTAACAAATGTCAGAAACAAAAGTCAAACCCACATCTTCTGACTCATCTACACATCTATGGTAGAGATATAGAAGAGGAACTAGGAAATGCTTAGCCAGTTAAGGAAATGTCAAGTCCACTTAAGGTTATAGGATTTAGAGCTGAAAGGGATCTTAGAGGCCATGTCATCTAAGAGGAAAACTGAGGCCCACAGAGGTGACACTGACTTGCACATAATCACTTGGGCCATTAAGGAGCAGAGTTAGGATTCAAACCTAGGCCTCCTGTCTTCAGATCCAGCCATCTTCCCCCATGGTCTACTGTGCTGCCTTTAACCTGGCTAGACTTTAGAGGAATAACCAGACATTGCTGATTACTGTGTAATCAGGCATTTTTTTTTTGTGTTGTGGAAAGAGTGCTGGACTTACAGAGTTTGGACACCTTGGTTTAAATCCTATCTCAGAATAGTTTTACTGAACCTCTCGGAGCCTCATTCCTCATCTGTAAAATGAAGTTAATCCTTGTACTGTCCACTTCCATAATTGTAATGAAAGTACAGTGTCTCCTCACTCAGACCATTTAGAGTTTACAAAATTGTGAAACCTTTGTTTAGAAGCCTGAAGGAATTTATAACGTTCCCAGGTGTGATTGTCAGCATCCGCCTAAGATTCAGGAAGCACCTTGCATCACCACGTGACCATTTTTTAACCCAAGATTTATTTAGTTTATATTCTACTTTTTTTCCCCCTACTCCCGTCAAAATGCAAAACCAGATGTATACGCGGGATGTGTATAGCCATTTAGAGTTGTAAGAGGTGGTGTGGTGTGGTGGAAATATAATAAGCTTGCCCAGGAAAACCTGAGTTCCAATTCTGGCTCTACCCCTTTCTCACTGTGGGACTGTGGGTGAGTCACTGTGTCTGTCTGTGCTCCTTGGTTTCTTCATCTCTGAAGGTAGTGAGTTAGACTAACTGATCCCTCAAATTACTTGCAGTAAAACAGAAGCTCCTTGATGATGGGCTCTTTTTATTTTGACTTTGTATTCTCCAGGACGTAAGTACATACATACATAGTAAGCACTTCATAAATGCTTGTTTTATTGAACTGAAGTAATGAGTGCGCCTGTTCATTAGGAAACAGAATGTTAGAGCTGGATGGAGGAGCCATTTTATGTTTCAATTTGTGTCACTAAAACACCTCCACACACACTCAACCCAAGATAGATTTTTATTGTGTAAGCTCCAGTCATGCATAATAAAACAACACATTTTCACATTTCATATAACACCATGTTATAAAATGCATTATAAAAATAAACATCTTGTCAAAATAAACACAGAATTAGACTCAATCCACCTCCAGGTGCACACTTACACCCACAGAATCTCAGTTTCAAAGAAAGAATGTGACAAATGACTGAACTTGTGGCCAAAACTGGCCAAAGGATATAAGCAAGACCTCCTCTGGCCACATCAGAAGCAGAGGCTGTGCTTCCAGGCTCTAGGCCATGGCATAGATTCATGTTGTCCAACTGCAAAGAGGAACAGGTCTGCTCTCCACCTTCCTCCCTCTCCCCAGCCTCATCCTCGCCCCATGGGCCAAGAGAAGCAGGCCTGATCCCAAGCAACCACTGACTTGGTGCCCAAGGAAATAATTCTGCTTGGTTATATTAAAAAAAAAAGAAAGAAAAGAAAAATAACATGAACTAATTGCTTATTTAACAAACAAGCAACAGTTACAGAGTTATTGCCCTCATATCAGTTAAAGGTCCTTCCTTGAAGAAGAAATGTTTGTGTGACTCAGAACCATTTTGGACCTTTTTCTAAAACCAGGTGGTGATTTGATTAGTATCTCTGTTGTACACACTCCCTTTGGATCACATGTTTGGAGAGAAACCTTTGGTTTACCAAGTCAGTATAAATCCCTTCATTCTTGGCTTCCCCCAGAACGAACAATGGTGAATGGATAAGGACTCACAAAACATCAGAGATGGAAGGGACCTTAGAACACAACAAGAATGTTAGAACAGAAAGGAATGTTAGCACAGAGACTATCAAAATCGGAAGAGGCTTTTGAGACCAATCAGTCCAACTTCAATCTGTAGCTAAAGAAACTGAGCCCCAGATGAAAATGACTTGCCTACAGTCACATAGCTATTTAGTCACAGAGCCAGAAGTAGAACTGGGGTCTTCTGACTCTCCATACTAGGGTTCCGTCTACTATACTAAACTTAGGATTTCACCTTTCCTACTCAGGACGATCCCTGTTCCTTTATTTCATTATTAGGACACCACTCAATGACCAAAGGATAAGCAACCATACCACCATCAACAGCTTAACTGCTGAAAAGTCACTCAGTCTTCAAGTAGGAAAATTTCTTTTCTTTCTTTCCTTTTTTATTTTTTTGGTTAGGCAAAGGGGTTAAGGGACTTGCCCAGGGTCACACAGCTAGTAAGTGTCAAGTGTCAGAGGCAGGATTTGAACTCAGGTCCTCCTGACTCCAGGGCCAGTACTCTATCCACTGCGCCACCAAGCTGTCCCTAAGTAGGAAAATTTCAAAGGAAAAATGCCACAAGCTGAAACATAAACATGAGGAAGCACTGGAGAATGCTTCCCTCCAGCTTCCTGGCCACCCAGGGGTGGAAAGATGGCAAGATACCCACAATTCATCTGAGGATAAAGCAGACAGGGCAAAAACCTCCCCAGGGGGAGTTCTAGAGATTTCAGAATCATATGGGACTGCAGAAGACACACATGTATACATCTGTCCCATCTTTATATTCACTGACAAGTGACCTGACACTAGTCTGAGGTGTTTTACATGCCCACCTCCCAGGACAACTGACTTCTGATGAAAACTGGATGAACTACCAGGCACCTTGAGTTTTCTTGGAGTTAATAAACGACAAGTGTTTGTCTCTCGCAAGCTGGTTTGCCATCAGGTGTCGAGGATGAAACATTCACCAGCAATAAGAAGGTCTTTAAAAAAAATCATATAATTTTCAGCTAGAAGGGTTCTTATAGATCATCTAGCCAAATCCCCTCATTTTTTTTGTTTGTTTTTAGGCAATTGGGGTTAAGTGACTTACCCAGGGTCACACAGCTAGTAAGTGTCAAGTGTTTGGTCTGAGACCACATTTGAACTCAGGTCCTCCTGAATTCAGGGCCAGTGCTCTATCCACTGCGCCACCTAGCTGCCCCTCAAATCCTCTCATTTTACAAAGGAAGAAACTCTGGCTTAAACAGGGGGAAAATCATGCTCTAGGTCACAGGATTAAAAAACCCATGTCTTCTGACTACAAACCCAGAGCTTTTTTTTACTAAAAACAAAGCTCCCTCTTTCGTTTGCTTCTAAAACTCCTAATTTGTCCTCAGCTAAGGAACAAGATGAACTCAGGAGGGGACTGCAGTGTTCTAGAATTCTGAGCTAGGAGAAATCAAAAGGAAAATCAAATCAATTTGAATGGGCCAATTAATAAAAGGGGCACATCCTCTAAATACAACAGTTGATCATAAAGTCACAGACGTTAGAGCTGAAAGAAGACTTAGAGATAATCTAGTTTTGTTTTTGCAAATGGAGCAACTGAGAGCCAAATTGTGAATGGTGGTAGTAAGGGTGATTCAGGCCGAGGCAATGGCACAATATAGGGTTTAGACACAGCTTCAGACATTTATAAAATTGGCTAGGACTTTTCCTCAAAGGGAGATCCAAAGGAAGTAATCTTATGCATCTGTGACAGCTGGAACTCTCACTTTTAAAAGTCATGATAAGTATGATTTATGGTACAATCTGCTTCCAGTACTAACATCCCTCTTGTTGGTATTTCACTTCACATCAAAGCCAAAGGAAAAAAGCCTGACCCACAGATGTCTTTTGCTTTCCTTATTCACTGCCAGGAAAGAATTCCTTAAAATGCCTCAATGAGAGTGTGTAGGGATCACCTGCACTCCAATGCAATCGAGTTCCCCATTCATAATCCTTGCTCAACTCTTCTTAGCTGTCTAGTGCCCAAACATCCTCCCGTAGTCACAGCGTTTCAAGAAAAGATACTCCAGCCTTGGTCCCATCATAATGAGGGCACCCATTGACAAGATCTGGATTCTGAGACTCCTGGAAGAACCAAGGGGAACTGGACATGCCCTGGTCTTTGTGTAACTTCTCTAGATTTGCTACATCATTCATATTAGAGTTATGAACAAACAGTTAATGCTGGGTAATTCAGAATGTCATTCACTGAAGCCACTAATGCTTAGAAACCTTGGACCAAGGTAATTTTTTTCCATTTACCTCTTCTTCCAGTGACTGGAAAGAACTTCTGATCAAGTATCCTCCTATTCTACTCTTGTCAGATTTTCAACTTTCCTCTGCTAATCCTACTTCTTACTACTGGCCTAGGTGAGTCTTAATCTAAATCCAACAAGCCCTGATGAAAATTTGTCTCTACTTTCAGGAATGGGTTTTCCCTACTGAAGTAGACGAAATCTTCACTTCTGAGGACTCCCAAGGCTGAAAGCCTTTGTTTTTCCAGGCCATTTTTGGTGATTTGAGGCACACTGCCATTGTCATTTTGGCATTCAAAATATGTAATGTCTTGGCTATTCCTAGAGAACACAGTATTAATCTACAGGGAGATAAGCTTTCCTTGAAAAAAAATTGGCACCAAGAAGGCAAAGTAAATGGAATTTCACCAGAAAAAAACCTGTCAAGAAAGTGCTTTTCAGAAATTGCTGTACAGATGAACTACCTGGTAGTAAAGGTATAAACAAATGGCTTCTGTATGTCTTGGTTGCTCTGCTTCTAGGGAACTAAACATATGCCTTGCTCTTGGTTTTACAGTATATTAAAATAAATGCAGAGAAGAGGCACATCAAGGGTGAGGCTACAATTTTAAACCATCTTGTATATGCAATAAATCAGACATAAACCAGGTCTAAAAACATCAAACCTCAATCCTACTGGGGTGCAGGGCAAAGGCAAATCTTGACACTGAGGATGTAAAGTGCTCAAAGTCCCAGCCCAGGTTAAGAATGGCTGACCTGACTCTAGCTGATACATTACAGGGGCTCTCAAGCTGGGATGAGGGAGACAAGAGGCAGGGGTGGAGTGGCAAAGCAGCTCAGGAATCCTAATGAGCAGGCATAACTTACATCTACAGACAAAAAGCTTGCAGGAAATCTTGAGAACATATGCGCCTTTTTAACGTCGTATCTCCATTTGGTTCCCAAAACCCTATGAATTTTTAAGTACTCAGAGACCTTTTGCTGGCTTCACAATATTACAGGTCGCTAAAAAAAAAAATTATCTTTAGCAAAGATTTCAGCGCCTAAAGTCCTGGAATGCCAAGTGGTGTGGGAACTCCCCCTAGTGATGCCTACCTACAAATAGAGATGACAAGATCTCCCTAGTCTGGTCCAGCTTTTCGTCTTAGTAGGGGGAAGGGATAAGGACTAGCCCTGGGATTTCACCAGGAACTCCAACGTGAGCAAACTTCCTCTACAACTACAATTCAGCACCTTCTCTGTAACTTACAGGCTTAGAGCTAACTAGAGCACCAACAGGTTAAATGATCTGCCCAGCATGTGTTAGAACCCAGGTCTTGATTCTGAGTCCAACTCTCCCCACTGTGCCACAGCTTCCACCAGCAAGTAGAAGACTGATGCAGGATACTACACGGTAACTAAACTGAGTGCCAGAATCTTACAGCTAAAAAGAATCTGAGGTCCACAGAGACTGAGCTCCACTATGAGTTAGTGGCAGAAATGGGACCAGATACCAGAGTAAACTACAGGGACCGTTGACTGGTGCTCTTTTCGTTATACTACACTGAAATCTGGTGATTTTAAGTCAATTAAAATTGTACCCTTCCACAATCATGCTGCCATATTGGCTACCTTCCTGGGAATGATATTCAGTAAAGAATGAGGGTTAAGACTTCAGGGCTACTGGAAAAATGGGATCATGGCAGCAGGAGTCTCCGAGGGGGCCACAGTATCTTTGGCTCCTGAATTCTGAAAGGAAACTCTCTGAAGGTGCCCTGATGCTTCTATACTGCAGCAAGAAACATTACAGTTTAAAAAGTACAGGTAATGAATTAGCAGCTCCTGATAGGTCACAGTGAGGACAGTAAGGAGGAGTGCAGGGAAAGTGATCTTTAAGACAGATGGTTGTGAAGCCAGACATGAGGGGACCTCCAATAATCTTCATAATCTTACTAGCAATCTCCACTGTAACCGAATGGGCTCACCCGTCACACACAGGCTGGTTTCTCCAGGACAGCAGACCTCTCTTTTCCTTGGACTGCCCCCTGCTGGATTTTTTTTGCAATAGTTATGAGATTCCTTCCCTCCAATCCTCGGCGTGGCCTGGGTTCTCAAAGGCAATGCCAAGGGAGCACAAGCTTTGGCTGGTCCCATCAAGATGGAAGGATTTCAAGGAAAGCCCTAGCAACAGACGAGTAGGCTTGCTACCCAAGGATAAGAATAGCTAAGTGCAGAGAGCTTCAACACCAGTGGGTTGGTCACTATGTGGGAGATTGCTTTTGCTCAGAAGCTCATGAAACTATCTACCAAAGCATGGAAGAGTTGAAATCTGTATTGAGGAAGGAAATACCCAAACTGATAAAAATTACAGGATATATTCTGAAAGTACAGCTACCAGATGAATGATTTCAAAGTTGGGTTCATGAAACTTGACCACTGACTATATTCCCCAGGGGCCTAAAGGTAGACTACAAAGGTCTGTCTTAGACTGATTCTCAAGCAACTTACGTACATGCCACCTTTTGTAACATATTGGTATTTTAAAGCTGATCATAACTTCATTAGGCATAAATTCTGTTCAGTGATAATGGATAGGGCCAAAACTTATGGGACTTCAAATTCTCCTTTTATGCTTTAGGAGGGAGAAAGAAATTACTTAATGGCTGCAACGTATGTAGAAAACCATGTGACTTCTTCGTTAATAGCAGGAGTACAGCTGTGACTTTACTCCTCGAATGGAGTCATCGCCCTGAACCTCAGAGGTTATTCCCTCCACCATCGTGGTGTCCTGGAGGAGGCTACTGCTGGGAGGGAGAGGCCTGCAGAACTCCTTCACAAAGTCCTCCTCTGAGGCCAGCAGCACCTCCTTCCAGGCATTTGCATCCAGCTCCCCAGCAGTGCCTCCATACTCCTTAGGAAGGATGCTCTTTGGAAGGTTCAGGTGTAGAGAATTCAAGTCAGATCCATGAAGGAAAAACTGAAGGGAAACAAACAGGGAAGAGTCCATGAAGCGCATATATAAAGACGTTAGGACAGAGGTGCATTTCCACCTGCTGCTACAAAATTCCACTAAGGTTAAGGACCCCTGAGGCATGTCAGTGAATGAGAACAGCTCACATTTCACAGCCTTTTCTTATTATACTATTTGAGGCATACCCTGAGAGGTAAGTAGGACAGGGGTTATCATAACCATTTGACAGATGAGGAAACTGAGGCTCAAGGAAGGGAAGTAACCACCCAGTCAGCAAGTAGCAGAGTCAAGAAAAAAGACTCAGGTCTCCTGATAGTTCCTCTCTGACAATACCACGTAAAAATACTTGAGTAACTGTCTCCACAGCCGGCTTTGGTAACAGCAGGGCCCTAGTAGCCTAGGGCTTCTTCTTGTGGAAACACACAGTGTAAAAGCTAACTTCTTCCCAGAGAACAAAACTAGAATGAAAAGGGGCAACTAGGGAGGGAGATTTCAGTTCTCTGTTTCCAGTTCCTGAAATATAGTCCAGCCAACTGTAACACTGCTATTAATAACTAGGTAAATAACTTTTGAAAATCACTCAAAGAACATATTTATGACTAAAAGTTCTATTAAATAAGAAATCACCAAAATTCTTTTGAGTCGCCTTTCTAACGACTGTGGTTCCCTCTGACCTAACTTTTTAGACATAAGTCAAGATATTAAAAAGTAAATAAGGCCAGAAATAGTGGCAGCTTTCAAGGTAAATTCCTAGATGTCCTGAAACCAAGACTCACCAAAGGTCAGAGATGGAAGGGGCCTTAAAACTCAGAAAGTCAGAGCTGACAGCTTAAGACCTCATAGGTCACCGTACAGAGTCCTCCTATTTTACAGAAGAGGAAGAAACTGAGATTGAGAGAGGGGCAGTGAATCACAGGATCAGAAATCTACAGTTGGAAGGAGTTAGAGGTCATTGAATCCAACCCCTTTATTTTAGAGGTGAGACAACTGAAGCTGAGGCAAGGTCACATGGCCAGGAGGGGTAGGTGACCCAGAAGGTGGGGTAGCCATTGTCTCTACAATGTTTTTTTTGTTTGTTTGTTGCTGTTGTTTTTTTTTGTTTTTTTTGCTTTTTGGTGAGGCAATCAGGGTTAAGTGACTTGCACAAGGTCACACAGCTAGTAAGTATTAAGTGTCTGAGGCTGGATTTGAACTCAAGTCCTCCTGACTCCAAGGCCACAGCTCTATTCACTACACCACCTAGCTGCCCCTACAATGTTAACCTTGATGAATTTTCTCTTTTATGCCCAGAAGGTTGATTCAGTTGTTGGATTTAGATGACAGATAATTTCAGAGCTAGAATGGACCATGGATCCTGGATCCTACAACATTAGAATTGGAAGGAACTTCAGAATCACAAAATGTCAGAGCTAGAAGGATTCTTGGAGGACATGGAGGCCAAACCCCCTCATTTTAAAGAGGAAGTTATCAATTTGCATCTCCACACTTAGTCTGCCCTAACACACAAACGACAACTTAAACATTCATTCATCTTCTAAAAAATAAAACAGTAGGAAAAAAAAGATTCTATAAGGAAAACATCTGCCTTGAGGGGCTACTCCATGAGAAAAGGCCAAACTTTATTTTAAACTTTTTAAAGTTTATATTAAAACTTTATAGTAAAACTTATAATTACACATATAAAATATATATATAATTACTTGTGTATAATATGTTGTATATTATAATAAAACTTACATTGAACTTTAATTTTAAAAATAAATTTGTATCAATATATATTTTTAACATCACCTACATTTCCCAGTACATTCCCTCTTCCTTCCCCTCCCAGAAAGTCATCCCCTATAAAAAAGGACAAAAAAAAGAGGAAAAAAGTTAAGCAAAACTAATAATTTGAAAAAGTCTGACGATATCCAGACTGCTCCATACCCACAATCTTGAACCTCTTCAAAGAGGAGAAGAAAGTGGGAGAAGGCCAACATTTAAAGCTGCCATTGACAGAAAGAAGTAAGTCACTTACTCTGTTAGCTATTTTCTCCTTCAGAAATGGTTTTATGATAGCAAAAATGCCTTTGAATATTCGAGGTTCATTTACAATATTGACAGCTTTTATTCTAATGGGAAACCCATCCTGTGGTAAGAAAAGAAAAGGTATTTTAGAACATCTGGAAACCTCTGTAGGAAACAAAGTCTGTATACCCCTGCTTCTGAGACATCTCCCATCACTCCATGCATAACATTTACTAACTGAATTCAATAGCCATAGCTCGCATGGGTGTCGTGTTTTTATAGTTTATGACGCATTTTCATGTCGAATGTGATGATTCCAACCACCGTTTGAAGCAGGCAGGCTGGGGCTTATTGAACCCTTTCACAAATGAGGAATCTGAGTCTCAGAGAAGTTACACGACTTGTCCAACTGTAAGCAGTCCTCCTAATGTTAAATATGATGCCTGGAAAAGACCCAGGAAATGCCAAACCCTCCAAATCCAGTCCCTTAAACACCTGTGCTCAAAGAGCTGGGCAGAGCAGAGTCTTGATGCCAAAGAAAAGCTAAATTCTCAGACAGAACCATGCCCCAAAACAAGTTAGAACAGAAATTGGATAATACGCGAGCTGGTAGACAGCTTAGAACATAGACTGCCTGTGTTGGAACTTACATGCAAATGCTGAGGGACAGGTTAGTGGGATGGTGTTCATTCAGGAAGGCCAAGGACATAGGATGTCAGAGTTGGAAAGGACCTGGACCATGACAGGACTGAGGTGGAAGGCTCTAGGCTAGTGTGATGGGGTTGCAGAATGAGTGATCAGATGAGATGGAGTGAATTCAGGAAGACTGAGAACCTAGGCTGTTAGGACACAGAACGGCAGAGCTGGAAAAGACCTCAGACCTCATTTTACAGATGAAGTTCAGAGGAGACAATTCACTTCCCAAGGTCACACTGTGAAGCTGATGACAGAGAAAAAAAAATGGGATTTCCTGTTGCCCTGCAATATCTCCCACAGAGGGTATACAATAATGGGGCTCCTCCCAGTAAGGAGCAAAGAAAACATCTTCACTGCCCTGTGGGGGAAGGAGTGGGACCAACATGTCTGAGGTGCCTACAGGGCACCAGAGAACTTTTAAAGACACACTGGTAGCAGAAAGCAAGGGCCTTTGCTGCCTTATTTACCCATCAAAACTGTCTTTTGCAGTAAAAAAGTTAATTTAGTGATGGGGAGTGGGGAACACCTACTTCTGCCTCTGAGATGAAAATGTTCTGGGTTGGAACGTGCTTACCTTCTGTCAAGATTTGGTGAATCCAGAAAGCAAAAGATTCAAAGAATCAAGAAGGGAGGCTTAGGATATGCTCTACATGCACAAGTGCATACACGTGCACACACACACACCCTATCAAGTATCACATGATTAGTTCTTCTGCCACATTCCTGATTCATTAAATCAATAAACACTAAAAACTTACTACATGCAAACCCTTTTGAAGGACAGACAGGAGTAAGAGTCAATCCCTGTTTTCAGGAAGTCTACAGTCTAGGAAGGGAGGGAAGGCCCTCCAAGCGGAACATATTGAAGAGGGTAGAGAAATGAGTTCTGGCTGTGAGTTATGGGAACTGCTCAAGTCTTTATTGGAGAGGTGACAATTGAGCAGAGCCCTGAAGGATGAGCAGGAGTTGGAAATATAGAGACAGAAAGGGAAGGGCATTCCAGGTTGGGCAAACATGAAGGGCATGGAGTTGAAAAGGACGGGCATACTCACCAAATGATGAGGAGCACAGTTTGGCTAGAATGTTGGGGGCATGAGGGAAGAGTCACAGGAGAAAGACCCACAGGCTGGGTCACATTGTGGAAAGCCTTGAGTGCTGGGCTAAAATTATAGGATTTGGTCTTTATCTGGACAACAATGGAACCATTGTACCACATCACACCTATCAGATTGGTTAATATGGCAAAACAGGAAAATAATAAATATTGGAGAAGATGTGAGAAAAGTAGAACACTAATGCATTGTTGGTAGAGTTGTGTAATGATCCAACTGTTCTGGAGAGCAATTTGGAACTATGCCCAAAGGGCTATAAAACTGTGCATACCCTTTCATCTGGCAACACCACTACTAGGTATGTATCCAAAAGAGATCACAAAAATGGGGAAAGGACCCGAATGTACAAAAATATTTATAGCAGCTCTTTTTTTTTGTTTTTTTTTTTGTTTTTTTGTTTTTGGGCGAGGCAATAGGGATTAAGTTACTTGCCCAGGGTTACATAGCTAATGAGTATCATGTGTCTGAGGCCAGATTTGAACTCAGGTCCTCCTAACTCCAGGGCCAGTACTCTATCCACTGCACCATTTAGCTGCCTCTACAGCAGCTATTTTTTGTGGTGGCAAAGAATTGGAAATTGAGGGGATGCCCATCAATTGGGGAATGACTGAACAAGTTGTGGTATATGAATATAATGGAATGCTATTGTTCCACATGAAATGGTGAGCAAGCAGACTTCAGAAAAATCTAGAAAGACTTACATAAACTGATGCTGAGTGAAGTGAGCAGAACCAGGAGAACATTGTACACAGTAACAGCAACACTGTGCAATGACCAACTTTGTTAGGCTTAGCACTTCTCAGCAATGCAATGACCTAAGATAGTTCCAAAAGACTGACGATGGAAACTGCTATTCTCCAGAGAAAGAGTCTGAACGCAGATCAAAGAGTACTATTTTCTCTCTCTCTCTCTCTCTTTTTTTGTTTTTTCTTTCCCGTGGTTTTTCCCTTTGGTTCTAATTCTTCTTTACAATATGACTAATATGGAAACGTGTTTAATATAATTGTACATGTATAGCCCTACATCAGATTGCATGCTGAGTTGGGGAGGGGGAAAAATTTAGAACTCGAAATCTTGTGGAAGTGAATGCTGAAAACTAAAAATTAATTAATTAATTAAAAAACAATAGAATCATTGCATACTTTGGGGCAGGAAAGTAAGGTGAGTAGCCTCATGGTATATTAGGAAGACTAATATGAGGCAGTACATAGGATGGACAGGAAAGAAGGGAGCCTGGAGGCAGGAACAGTAGTTAGGAGGCTGCTGCAATAGTCCAAGGAAGAATGTGAATGGGTCAGAGCAGCGGCTGTGAGACTGGAGAGGAGAGAGGATGGCTGGAGGAGGAGTCATCCTGCTGAAGTTTCAAAAATGGGCACACCCTTATGTGGTTTCTCATTTCATAAGTTGTAGTAACTACCACACATTTGTCTAGAGATAAACCCAGTCTAATGCTTAGCCCCAGTGCCAGGGCCCCCTTTCAGTGGGTTTCCACTGACCCCTGCCAGATCTCCTGCAAGGCTTTAAAAGAGCCTGAACTTTCAAAGTGTAGACACGCCTCCTCCCAATATGTATCCTTCATATCCCCTCAACCCCTCAGTAGCGGTATTCTGAGTAGTTCTGGTCAAAAAAAAGGTCTTCAATGGGGGGCCAAGCTTCTGATTACCAAATCGTCAAATGCCCTGAGCCGGCTGATCCTCAGATGACAGGCACAAAGACTGTTACCAGCTTTGGTCACCAACTCTTTCCAGCTTGAGAGGCCCCGTCAGAACCTGGGTACTGATAGCACAGCCATGCAGAATGCAAGGTCCCTTCCCCAGCACTGAAAGAACACCAGGCCTCATGCGTCAAATGTTACAAGGTACTTTGAAAACATTATCATATGAAAAACGCTATCTATTGCCAGAGAAAGAATTGATGGAGTCCTGCACATCAAAGCATACTATTTTTCACTTTTACTTTTCTTGGTGGTATTTTTTTGGTCTAGTTTTTTTTTTTTTTTTTTTGCAACATGGTTAATATGGAAATATGTTTTGCATGACTGCACATGTATAATCTAGATCAAATTGCTTGCTTTTCCAAGGAAGGGAACGAGAAGGAAGGGAAGAAAAGAATTTGGAACTCAAAATAAAAAAAAAAACAAAGTTAAAAATTGTTTTTATGTATAATTGGAAAAAATATATAAAAAAGAAAACATCATGCAATTTGCTTCAACAATCTGAGGCACAAAAATACTCAAACTTTTCTATAGGAGGTTTGGCTTGGAAAAATTTCATTAAAAAAAAGAAAAATGTCATCCATATAAATTTCATATAAATAAATAACGACAAAAGTCAGATTCTACTTCCTAGGAAAAGAAAAGCCAATTTCTGAGGAGCTGGCGGCCTTCTTTGCTTTCTGCACTTTAAACTTTCAGAGCTGATCTTGTCTAAACTACAGGAGCTCAGGCAAACCAAGAGAGGTGCTGGCAAGCCCACAGTGCAAGGCAAAACTTTCAAAGCGTCCTTCGCTTGGGGGAAAAAATGGGCACTCTGGATTCTGGGAGAAAAGCCAAATCATTCCCCAACCCCACCACCCTAAGAATAAAGGATAAAGTGTCAGTTGACTAATGTATTTATGTATTGTTTCCCAACCCAAGTGGGGACCTTACCTGGAGAATTCCAATCACTTTTTTGGCTATAAAAGGACCAAAATGGGAAGCCTTGGCTAAGCCAACTCCTTTGTAGTCCGCGAGGATGACGATTCCGTTTACCTGGGTCTCCTCGGATTGGATCAACTTTTCTAACGTTAAGTATATGGCACGAATGTTCTCGGTAATTGGGTAGTTACTTGGAATCCATCTATCTAGGGTTGCAAGACAAAGAGGGGAGAAATGAACAATAATAACAACGCAGAGCTCACACTTCTATAGCATTCGCAATTTACAAAGCATTTTCTTCAATAGGCCTGTGAAGGAGGGAACAGGGCTCAGGCCTGTGCCTGGGATTTCATTGGGACTGCATAGGGGACTCCCAGATGAGGGGACTTTGAAGCCTGGAGAGCTGCCTCAAGCACGGAGGAGCTCAGTGTTGCCTAACGTCACACAGCCTGTCTGTGTCAGAGACAGGAGCCCAGGTCGTCCTGCTGCCAGCTCTCCATCCTCTTCAGCAGAGGTGCCCAGCTGTGTGCTAGATGGCAAAGAGGAAGGGGTGCTGCACCTGGAGTCCAGGACACCTGAGTTCAGGGATTCTTAACTTGGGAATCTGTGAACCTGTTTGTTTTTTAAATATCTGGATCACTGCATTTCAATATAATTGGTTTTCTTTATAACATTTTCCTTATTTTACCTTACTTAAAAACACTACAGTTATCCCTTCCACAATGTGACTTTCCCCATTGTGATTTTGATATATAAATTTTCAATTTACAATGTATAAAGTGTTCTGCAAACCTTTATGGACTAAGAAAATGCTATTATTATTATTATTGTTATTACACATATTGTTATCCCTATTTTGCATATGAGGAAATTAAGGCTTAAAAAGACTAAGGGATTTGCTCACTGTTCCCATGGCTGCTACTGACAATGATGACTGTAACAATAGTTCAGATTCCCATAATCCCTGCTTTGCAGTTCAGAGATTATAAAATTTTGCCTCACAGTTCTTTCTTTGATTATAGACTAAAAGAGCTGGAAGAGATCTTGAAGACCATCTAGTTCCACCCCTCTCATTTTACAAATGGGGAAACTGAGGCCTGGAGAGAGCTGTTCAAGGTATGTGACCTCAGTGACTGAATCAGGAATATGGCCCAGGTCTCCTGACTCTGAGTCTGTTTTGTTTCCTTTATATGCCGTTGCTGACAACACACTGTAATTTTATTGGCTTAGGAAGTATTTTCCTTTCAATTCTATTGTTTTTAATCTAATAGTTAATATGTCTATGATGTGGTGTGTACATGTGTGATTGTAAAGAGCAGGGGGACTTGGTCAAAGGGTAATATTAACGAATTGATCCTTTCAGATCAATTTCAAGTTAATGCAAGTAAAAAATGGTGAGCCATGTTAACCAATCAATCATCAATCAATAGGCATTTGCCAATTGATTACTTTTTGCCAGGTACTGTGCTAGGCACTGGGGATGCAAAGAAAAGCAAAAAACACATTTCCTGTCACCAAGGAGCTAAACTAGACTTGATACCATCATCACCAGAAACACAGGCCCTCTTAACAAGCTGTAAGGGCTTCAAGTATGGGCCCAGCGCTGGCCTGTATGTTTGTTGTCCAAGCTTAGGCCCAGACTAGCGGGACTACTCAGGGGCAGCTAGGTGGTGCCATAATGCACAGAGCACCAGGCCTGGAGTCAGGAAGACTCATCTTCCTAAGTTCAAATCTAGCTTCGTGACCCTGGCAAGTCACTTAACCTTGTTTGTCTCAGTTTCTCTTCTGTAAAATGAACTGAAGAAGGAAATGGCAAACCACTCCAGTATCCTTGCCAAGAAAACCCCAAATGGGGTCACAAGGAGTCAGACGTGACTAAAAAATGACTGACTGAAATGGGACTACTCACTTCTAAGCTATTCTATTTGCCCCCACTTTCACAGTCCTCTCTGAGCTGGGTGCCCCAAGCCATGGCACTTGGAAGAGAACAGGTAGTATCTTCTACCCCAGAACAGGTTCTCCTAATTCTATAGCAGCAAGGGCTTTCCTTACAACCCTGAGGGCAGGCGATGCTGGTATTATTAACCCACTTGATGGTGGTGATGAGCATAAAGCTCTGATGATGAGGTGATTTAGGTCCTAGAGCTGGTTAGATCTCATACCTATCACGGGAAGCCAGGTCTCCTGACTCCCAGCCTATGGTTCTTGTCGCCATGCTACCTGCCCACCTTCAGATGCACCCATCTGGGCTCCGCTCAGTGAAAGGGAAACTCATACTTATATTGGTTCACGGTCTCATTGGTGAGCAAGCTCTTTCTACTGGCAAAGACTCCATCTCCTATGTGGTAGCTCTTTAAATACTTATAGATAGCTAACATGCCCCTTAGCCCCCACCACAACCCTCTCCACCGACACAGAGTGTAAATCCACCTAAACAGACATTTCCATGAGTTTTAGTGGCCAAAAGTTCCTTGACTGGTGGCCAGCCTTCTGGAAATGAGCGCTTAGCTAAGCCAGTCTCAGACAATGGTCACACTGTCCACGGAGGGGCCCACACTTCAAGGTTTCCCAGCTCTATAGGATCTACCAAGGCTCTAGTAGAGGGCTCTCCCCACATGACCAAATAATCACTGAGCTAAAACTAGACAGCTCCTTTCCCTTTGCTCAAAGGCCTCCAGCGAACACAAAGAACTATTGTCTCCTACTAGAAAGAGAGCACTGGGTCAATCAGAGTCAGATGACCAGGGTTTAAATCCCCAGATCCCCATCTCTTGATGGGACCTTAAACAAGTCACTTTCTTCCTCTGGGCCTCAGTTTCCTGTTCTGTAAAATGCAGGGATTGCCTAGAGGATCTCTCAGGTCCCTTCTTACTTGAAATTCTATCACCACAAGAACCAAATCCAACCCAAGCTCACAGAGACAACAACATTCAAGAGACGTACCTGGACGAAGGCAAACTACCTGGCAGCCTCTAGGGTCCGAGTGAGGCAGCACTGTGAGAAAACCTGAAGCCAGAACCTCAGTTAGGGCAGAGGGCTTCAGGTTGTCAAACACTTCGGGCCAGCTCCTCCGACAGCTGTGATAGTTGACCAGAAGCTGCAAGGCTCGGTCATAGTCAAACTTTCGGGCTCTGAGAAAGCGTAGGAGAAAAGCATCGTCCAAGGATGTACTTAGGTTGGGATAGTCTTTACACACCATGTCTCGAAGGGCTTGAACATCCCGGAGCCGCCATTCTGGTTTCTCCTGCAGCTCCTCCCGGGCTTTGGTGATGAGCTCCTCCGTCAGGGAGCACACATACCCAGGCTGTTTGGAGAGCTGTAGCTCATTTTCAGACAGAGACGCCACAGAGGGGCTTGTTCTCAGAGAGTCACTTTCTTCGGACATTAGATTATCAGGAAGCTGTCCAAAAAAATTTAAAAAACCCATTCTAAGCCCATTTACCAGCATGTTGTGCTACCCATAAAACCCACCTGCCACAGAGTACAAGAAAGTAGTTTTGAAAGAGAAGCCAAATTGCCAAGGGGAAGGTACTAAGTTCCCTTTGAGGCCCAACTCAAGTAACACCCAGAAAACACTCTTAATTCCCCCAGTTGTTAATGACCTCCCCCAAGTTTTTACAAATTTACCTTGTATATATCCTGTATTTATGTCTCTGTAAACATGTATATCGCAGTAGAATGTAAGTTCCTCAAAGGCAAGCACTGTCTCAGTTTTGTCTTTGTATGCCAGAACCTAGCACAATGCCTGGTACACAGTAAGCACGTGATAAAGGCTTGTGGGCTGACTGCCTGAAACTAGTAATATCCAACTTTGCCCACAGGCCCTCAGGAGCCTCCTCCTTAGCTGAAAACAACATTGGGGCATCTTATGGTATATGACCTTGGACAAGTCCCCTTCCCTTTCCGGGCCTCCATTTTCTTCTCTGTAAAATAAAAGAGTTGGAATAAATGAAGTCTAGGGGTACTTCCAGTTCATATATTCTATGCTCTACTTTGGGCTGCTGTCCACAGAAAACTACCAGATAACAATGGTGCCTGGGTGATGGGCCTGGGACTTGAGCTGTCTATTTAGACAAGTTCGCAGAATCCTCTTCCAGTCCACAGAGAGGGCAAGGAAGTAAAGAAGTAAGCAATATTCAACAACATATGATCCTCACTCCCTAGCTTTCAGCAGTGTTGCCCTTTCCCTGAGATCTCTTCTTTTATAAGTTATTCCCTTCCCCTTAATCTCCCTTTTCACAGGTCCTTTCTTCCTCTGATTCTCTCCCTCCCAATATCCCATTTTCCTGAGTCTCCCCCCAGGTTCTCCCTCGTCTCCACTGCCTCATTCTCTCCTACCCTAGTCTCCTATTCTGAGTCTTCCTTTCTCAGGTCCCTCTTTCCAGGTTTCCCCTTCTCCTTTCCAAGGTTCCTTGATTTTCTTCTTCCCCTGTTCCCCCTTTAATTCATCGATTACCCTGATTCCTCCTTGCCCAGCACCCCCTACCCCATTTCCTGATTCTCCTCACTCATTCCACAAGTATTTGTTAGGCACCTGCTCTATGTAAAGCACCATGTACTGGGGATACAAATGCAAAATGAAAAACACTCCCTGCCCACAAGGAGTTTACATTCTAGTAAGGGGATACAAAATGTACACAAGTAGCATGTACAAGGTAATTTGAGGATGGAAAAAACAGTAACATCTAGATCAATGGTTCTTAACCTCCAGTCGGTGAACTTTTTTTTAATAACTTCATTTCGATGTAATTAATTTCCTTTGTAATCCTCTGTATTTTATTCATTTAAAGACATTATTCTTCACCAAACTGCCAAAGAGCTCCATGACACACAAAAAGGTTTAGAACCTCTGCTTTAGAAGAATCAGGAAAGGCTTCCTTTCAAGAGAGGGTTGTTGAGTTGGGCTTTGCATGAAGTTAAGTGTTCTAAGAGACAGATGTGAGGCAGGACTGCAGTTCTGGCATGTGGCAGAGCCTGTGGCAAGGGCACGGAAAAAGGACATACAATGTTGTGCATGCATAACAGCAATTAGTCCAGTTCGGCTAGATCGTGGCGTGCCCCAAGGGGAATGATGTGAAACAAATCTGGAGAGGCAGGCTGAAGCCAATCTGAGAAGGGCTTTAAACGTCAAATAGAGATGTTTGCATTCGATTCTAGAGGCAGCAGGAAGCTAATTAAGCTGTTTTGAACAAGGGAGTGACATGGTCAGACCTGGGCTTCAGGAATATCACACTGACAGCTGTGCTGGGGAGGGTGGCGGTGGGGACGGATGGGAGAGGGAAGGGTCCGGAAGCAGAGAGACCAATTAGGAGGCTGTTGCAATTGGCCAGGTGAGGGGAACCAACATGGTGAGTGGAGAGGAGACAGATGCGAGAGATGTTGCAGACTGACCGACTGGCTACTGATTGGGCGTAGGGGGGGAGGAAGAGAGGAGTGTCCAGGAGGAATCCTAGGTTGCAAACCTGAGTGCACAGCAGGATGGGGGAGCCTGCCTTCAGAGGGTTTAGGCGGGGAAAGAGGGTGAGTTCCGTTTTAAACGTGTTGCGTTTGAGATGCTTACAGGACATCCAAGGAGAGATGTCCAGCAGGCAGCTGGGGGTGTGGGGTTGCAGGTCGCGGGAGGCCGGATCCTCTCCCCTAGTCAGTTTCTTTACTTCTTCTTCCCTCCCGCCTTTCCCGGCCCCGCCCCAGACACGCGCACGCGCACACAAGTCGGCCCTCACCGGCTGCGGCCCCGCCCCCCGCCCCGAGCGCGCGCGGACCCTCTCCAGCCCCGCCCCCCCCGCTCCGGGCGCGCGGACACTCACCAGCCCCCCGGGCCAGAACGGAAGGGAGGGTGGGTCGGGTCACAGGCAACCTGGAGCCTCCGCCAGCACCGCGGACAGGTCCGACCCACCGACCGCTCCACCCGCCCCTCCACGCCGGAAGTGACGTAATGCTGGCCTCAGGCGTCTTGCACAGGCGCAGTGGAAAGATCGAAGTCGCGAGTTCTGGTCCTGAGATCCTGGCACAAGCTCCTTGGTTCTAGTGACACTTTCACCTTCCCGCCTCCCCCAGTCCCTGCGCTAGAGGGAGACACAGAGTTCCTCAGCTCGCTGTGCAACTTGGGACAAAGCACATGCCCTCTCTGGGCCTCTATGTCTTCATCAATAATGTGAGGGAATTGCATTGATCTACATGTTAGTCTATTAACCTTCTTTGTGTGTTATGGAATCCTCTGCAGGATGTAAAATCTGTGGCCCCCTTCTTAGAATAGTGTTTTTAAATTCCTAAAATAAAACATAAAATTACAAAGGAAATCGATTATCTTGAAAGGCAGGTATCAAAGTTTGTTTTGTTCTTTTTAAGAGTTCACGGTCCAAGTTAAGAACCTCTAATCTACACTTTATTCCAAGCATAAAACAGAATATCCTAGTGGGAAGGACCTTAGAGACGATTATCCCAACAACCTCATTTTATTGGTAAGGAAACTGAGGCCCAGAGAGTGACCTACTCAAACTGAACGGTTGTTGGTTTTGCCAGCATTTACATAGCACGTTTAGGTTTGCAATGAATTTGATCCTCACAGCAAGGTGAGCTAGGTGCTATTATTATCCTCATTTTATAGATGAGGAAACTGAGGCAGACCGGTGGAGTGACTTGCCCAGTGTTAGCTGGGCAGTGAGTCAGTCTTCTGAGGCAGATTTGAAGGCAGATCCTCTGACTTCCAGTCCAGATCCCTTTCTATTGAATTGTAGCTATTTAACCCTAAGGTGACCGCCAGCTGTACACGGGGTTCCTATCTTTAAGGAAATCTGGGTTTTTTCTTCTGTAAAACGAGGGTGTGGGATCGGATGGTATCCAAAGATCCCCCCAAGTCTGATATTCCCTGTTTCTAAGGTCTTTCCTGGCTCTGATATCATCACATATAGCCCTAGACCCAGGCTTTTTTTTTTTAGCCTTTTGTGTGTCATTGACCCTCTGGCAGTCTGGTGAAGCCTGTGGACTCCTCAAACAATGGTTTTCAATGCACAAAACAAAATACTTAGGATTACGAAGGAAACCAGTTAATTGGTTGATAACTGTTGAAATACAGCTATCCATCTTATCCATCTTTTAAAACAAGTCCACAGACCCCATTAAGAATCAATGCGCAAGAGGGTCCTTGTCCAGTCCTTTCCCCTGTTTTCCATCCCCTCATTCACTTCCATCTGGTCTGTAGGTGGGTGGTAACAGGGCTATGGTTGCTAAGCAGAGCTGTCCCTAAGACTGACAACTATCCTGGACCCGGGGCCTTGAGGGAAGCCTTGCAACAGTAGGCAGCGTGTCAGGGAGGCGGTTGGTGCAGCTGGTGCAAAACTCGTTAACATCTTTCCACGGGCACGGGCATGTAGTCTGTGACTTCTTTTTCTCTTTGAGAGCTCAGGATGTTTACTGTGACCTGATGTTACCAGGATAATTGGGAAATCATAATGGTAGAAAGGATGTAGGTAAGAAGTGCACAATATACCACGCTCCCTGGAACAAACCCTGGGCGGTCATCTTTGCCCCCACTTTCCGGCCTCCCAGGGCTAGGTGCCCAGGCCCAGGTTCTGGCTCTGCATTGCCTGGGTTAGACCGTGCTGAGGTGTGTTTCCTCCTGTTGACAGCAGGGGGAGCCTAAAACAGGGATAAGATCAGAGAATCCAGGAAGCCTCAAGATGGCACCCAGGAGTCTTGCTCCTGTAGAAATAGCCCTTAGCTTGGTTTTGTCTCTTCACCACGCTGTAGACTACTCCTCCATCTTCCATTTGGCCTCATTTTATAACTATAGAATCATAGAATGTCTATGAACTAGAAGGAGCCTTGGAACATAAGATGTTAGAGCTGTAAGGGACAGACCTTGTAGGCCATCTAGTCTGAGGACCGTGGAGCTGGAAGGATAATAGATTTAGACACCTCAGAGACCGTCTATTCCAACCCTTTCATTGTACAAACGAGTAAACTGAGGCCCGTAAAGGTTAGGTGACTTAGACAAGATCATATAGCTAGAAAATGGCAGTCAAGAATTGAACCCAAGTCTTCTAAATCTGAATTCAGTACTATTTCCACTGCATCAACTTCATTTTACAGAGGAGGAAACTAAGTGACAGAAGTGGGACTCAAACACAAAGTTAGTCTCTTTCCATTACACTTTACACTTAAGAAATGTCTAAATAAATGACAGGACACTAACAGGAAGAAATATTTAGAGGGGAAAAGGCCAATGGTTAAATCCTGGTGAAATGACCCTGGCATCTGGAACATCTACAGTCTTCAAATCTCAAGCAGCTTCACCCTGGAAGTGATGCCTGCGCATCTGTAAAGACCAGAACAGGACTCAGCTGGAATGGGCACAGGGGCTGAGGCTGATTTTGTTTTTTGTTTTTTTTTACAGTTAAGGACATCTTGTAATTTGTTGGGCATTGTTTAGAAAGGGCTCCAGAATATATATTTTTTTATAGGAAGTAGTTAATTCCTGCCTCTCAGTTCACTATAAGGAAGAACTTCCTAATTAAAGTTGTCTAAAGACAAAATGGACTGCCTTTGTGGGTAAAAAGAGTAAGCTTCCTTTTACTAGAGACATTCAAGCAGAAGTTGGATAGTTACTTGTCAGAGATGGTGTAAAGGAGATTTCTGCATGTAATGGGAGGTTAGACTAGGTGTCCTTTGCAGCTTGGAGATTCTATGAATCTATGAAAACTTGTTCTCATGGTAGGTGGCTCACCCAAATGACAGGGAGTTAATCATTGGCCACACATGGTCTTTCTGCCACATTCATCACCCAAGCCATAGTTTGCCAACCCCTGATATAATCCTCATATTAGGCACTGGCCATATATGAGGCAGTGAGACCCAGGCTAGAAGAGGCCCTACCCTAGTGAAAGTATCCTAGCCCCACCTGGGATCAGTAGTGGAAAGAAGACTGGTCTGGGAGTCAAGAGATGGTCCCTCCTAACTTTTCTCCACCATCACCATCTCACAACTGAATTTTCTCAGACATCTTTTTCTTTTCCTGATGTCATTTGAGACCAAGGCCGGTAAGGACCAACTTCCAGATAACAAAGCTATTGAGTCCAAGAATCTAGAAATCCTTTGCCTAACCTAGCTGCTTAAACCACACAGCATTCATCTTCCCACCTGGAATCTTACTTCCTTATTCTTTCTCAGTGCAGTCACTTTGCCCATAGGCATATGCTTTGTCCCCTGGGACCCTGAAGAATAGAGTATTTTTGAGCAGCAATTTATTTATCAGGCTTAAAGCTAGAATGGGCTAACCAACCCTTTCTTTTTACAAATAGGGAAGCTGAGGTTCAGAAAGTAGAAGCTATTTTCTCAAGATCACATCGATTCAAAGCAGAAACAGGATTTGAACTCAGGTCCTCTGACTCCAAAACCTGGGTTCTCTCTACTACAATGCACCAGCCTAGATTCATTTAAACAAACATTGATTAATTATCTATTCTTTCAAGGACCCAGCCTCAGTATTGGGAATATAGGGATAGATATCACCCAGATTCCTCTCTCAAAAAGGTTTGAAGCAATGAGTAGGATGAGAATGGAGGGACAGAGCCTGCATGAAGGAGCATTTGTATAAGAGAAGACTGGAAAGGTAGATTAGAACCTGGAATGCCAGGCTAAGAAGTTTATGATTTATTCAACAGACAACGAGGAATGTTTGAAGAGTTGTCCAGTGGAAGGAGGTTCATAATTATTCCACTTTGGCCCAGAGGAAAGAACTAAGAACTAAGAAGCTATGGAATCCAGGTCTTCTCCCTGTTAAATTCAATGTTTTCCATTACCCTAAGCTGGACTTCCTACTCACATATCTGTAGAGGACTCAGATATTTATAGAACTCTAAAATCTAAAAAAGATTTATAGGTGGATGTCCTTACAACTGCTCCATAAAAAAGATAGGGTGACTAATATCATTTTACAGATGGAAAAACTGAGGCTTAGAGAAATGATTTGCCCAAGGTTAACACATTTAAGTGTTGGGGACAGGATTTGAATCCAGGTCCCCTAATGACAAGACTCCTTTCACTTAATCATACTCTTTTACTATTTATTTGACCGACAGGTCTGATCCAGGCTGAGACCGTGGGCCTTGATCCAGGCCTCTGGCTCAGCCCTACCTAGACCATGTTTTTCCTGTTGTTTACATTGCTGGAGCAGGCTCCATGGAGTAAACGTTAGCTCACCCTCTGTGTCCCTTTATTAATAAGCCTTGATATAAACAAATCGCCCCAATACATGCGTCCCTTTGCAGATGTCCTAAACCTCTTGGAAGAAGACTGACACGGAGGAGTTTCCAAACGGAGATGAGGGCGGAGACTGTGTTTTTCCAGTCACTGATTGATTTGCTAACCTTCTGAGTCAGCACAGCACAGGTCTCCTGGGAGGGACAGGGTGTACTCACTGTTCCCAGGTGCCCTGGAGAACCGACAGGTCCCAGCCATTTATGGAACTGGGGCCCTGGGGGTGGAGTGGAAGGGGTGGAGGTTTGCCAATGGCCCCAGTGGAGATTCAAGGGATACTGAAATATGCCCCTACCTGGTATCCAGTGGTAGAAGCGAACTTAGAGTATTAGAACAGACAACATAAAAGCTAGAAGGGACCTCCGAACCTAGAACACAAAATCTCAGAGCAGAAGGGCATCTGAGAACATAGAACGGGAAAGGGCCTTACATATCAGCACAGAATGCCAAAGCTGGTAAGTAAGGGACTTTCTGGTCCAGCCTAGAGAATGGATGTGACTTGTCCAAGGTCACCAAGGATTTTGAGCTGAGGTTCAAACTCAGTTCTTCTGACTCCCAGTCTTGAGCTCTTTACCATAAACCAGTCTACCTGGTTCATCTACACATCCTTCAACACTCCCCATCCACCACCCCAGTGTATACTAG